AAATATTAATTAAGGTAATTTAGTATTATCAACTTAGTAGATGACGTAAATTGGCCACTGTAAAGAGTTCAAAAGCTGACCTTTCGAGTGTTAGCCCTTCGTCAGAGCAATGGACGAAGAGCTAACGCTCGAAACGCCAGCTTTTAAACTCTTTACGATGGCCAATCTACTCATCAAATCAGTTGATAATACTAAATTGCCCTGTTATACTCTCCTACTGTCGCAGCATCACAGTTTCTTTAGAAACTTACCCCCTTTGTATATTTTAAATCTTACTTAGCCACGGATGTGAAGTTACGCATGTCACGATGTCTTCGAAAGTTTAGAATGAGGATACTCGAACCATGAACACCTAGACATTTTTTTTTTTTTGCTTTGTTGTCATCTTCCAATCCAAGCTCACTTCATGTTGGGGCGCACTCATTTTATATATGTTGAATCAGGTAAGAGTTGGTAATGGCTGACAAAAGCGAAGTTTTCTGTTGGCTAAAATCCTTCTCCCCGGGAATGAAATTGGAAAGACTTTCGCTACAATTTGAAACGAAGGGTTTCCATTGGCTAAGGTCTCTTGCGTCGGTTAAAACGGAAGATTTGGACTCCTTCTTCCCGTTCCCTGACAAGCTGCTAATAGGGACCTTTAGCACCGAGAGTTTTCATAGCGACGGCGACGTCGATGGACGAAAGAGACTGGGGCGAGGACGCCGTTTTTCCCGCCAAAAACGTTAGGGACCTTAAGCAAACCACGATGGCGACGGCAACGAGGACACGAAAAAAAAAAAAGATCTAATAGGCAGAACAATAGCTCAGCACGCGCGTTTCATAACTTTGTACATTTCTTAGCCGTCCCATGCAAAACAGCAACGTGAAATCACAACTTGCGTCGTCTACGACCAGAAACCGGGACGGCAAATTATTTTAATTTCCATTTGGAACTCAACACTTCCTTCCTACGTGATGCTGAAGTTGAGGTGTGGCGACGTATGAGAAGCAGCCATTTTCGAAATTCTAATTAAAGGCAGAAATTCATTTTTTCAATCGACATCTTCCATGGCGATGCCGTCCTGACTACTTAAGGTCCCTGATATAAACCTTTAGCACCCTTCATTTTCCGACAGCAATTTGCCGAGTTCTTTAAAAATGAACAAATTTAAGACCTGTTGAGAGATACTTTTGCTTATCAATGCAAACAACAACATTTCGGACGAAGAATTTGTTCCATTATACGACAGTTATTGTTAAAAAAATTCCAGATTTCGGCTATCAATCGAATGATGTTTTCGATCTAGAAAACATGAATTCAGCTGACTGAAAGGCCCAATTTCGAGTTGAAAAGGCAGAAATTCCACGCCTTGCAGATTCTTGGCATGATGGGATGCTAGTACTCGCGAGATTACCCCCAGCATTTCATCAGTCTTTCCTAATAATTACTCGGTACCCTTTTATACTCCTGGGTGGAAAGAGGTACTGTGAGAATGAAATGTTTTGCTCAGGAACACAACACAAAACCCGGTCAGGTCTCGAACCCAGACCTCTCGAAACGAAATCCAGGGTACAGCCTGTTGGGCCATCGTGTCCGTAGGTAGATAAAAAAAAATGGGCGTTTCAAGTTAAACTGCCATATCAACGCGACCTATTTTTCATTTTCAAACAATTTGTCCCTTCCCCTTCGTCTTTCCTTGTTTTGAACCTCTTGGGGTTAATCAAGAAATGGTTGCTAATAACAAAGAGAATCAACCACAGCCTTCGAGTTAATCATTTGTTTTATTTTCCAGATAACGAGGCTTGAAATTCTACAATAAGCACAGCGAAAGAAAAAACCCTTAGATTAGGAACCCAACATTTTCCTTCACCCAATCCAAATTATGCTGGCAAAATAAGACTACTGCTTCAAATCTTATCCATCTGATCCGGAGGAAGAAAGGTCAGATGTGTTTCACTTCGAATCTGAAATAAGAAAAAAAAAAGAAAACACCACCGTGATTCACCAAAGGCTAAGGTTTGTTCTATAGCTGAATTGCATTTTCAAAGTTCCACCCACTTAAGTAAATTTTTCTTGAAATTGGAAATTTCTCCTAACGCTGTCCTCGTTTTCCTTTTGAACTCCTTCGTATCTCATGAAAAAGTAAAGCCTTTATACAGACCCAAGTGGCCCATGGGCCGATTTCCTTAGCATGAAGCGGCTAGGAGTATTGCTATTCCCCCCTGGATGGGATGCTAGTTCATCGCAGGGTTGCTGGTACCCATTTGTACACCTGGGTGAAGATAAGCATTGTGAGAGTAAAGTGTCTTGCCTAAGTAAACAACACAATGACCCCGGCCGGGGCTTGAAACCAGACCATTGGATCCGGAGTCGAGCGCACTTACCATGAGGCCACCTCACCTCGACTGTTATTTCATTAGAGACCTCTCTCAATTTAAATACCGAAAGGGGGGAGGTTCTTGTTCGTTCCGCAGCGAGCGTGATGGGCCGGTTTCCTTAGCATGAAGCTGCTAGGATTATTCGATTTTATAAAAGCCATTTAAACACCAGAGAGGATTAAGAGGACAGCTGGTAAGACGGACGGGGTGACAAATCGCACTTTTTTCGTGAGAGTGATAAACCTCTGTGACTTTTTTAAAAGAAAAGAATGCTCATCACTACACGTACATTAGTAAGAGAATTAAACATATCATTAAAAAGAAACACGAAATTTCAAAACGTTTTAAGGTTTACGCTAATCTATTTGATTTTTTAAACGATTACTTGTGCACATGCATACCTAACAGTTGCCGCAACTTTTGGAGCAATTGGACAGCATGTACTTTGGATTTTTTCCGCATTCACCGGTCGATGCCCAGAATTTACAACGTTTGTGCTTATCCTTGCAAGCTGACGGAGAAAAAGTAAAGCAATATACATGTAAGTGCATCGCTTAGTCTTATCAGATTTTATCAACATTTCTGTTTGAATCATAATCCCCTGAATCAGGATCTCTTCATGCCTGGTCACCTGTGCTACCGGACCGTTTTTTTTCCTAATTTTGCCTCCCCACTCGTTCCTTGTGAATTTATTCCCATGTAAGTCGTTTCAGTCAGAGAAAGAGTTGTAATTGTAAGAGGACCTGTACAGAGGATAGCAATTAAATTCAATGAGAACTCACCCATTGTGGTATATGGCATGCGCTAATAAACGCAAAAGGTCTTTTTGCTTTGATTTCTTTACAAAAATCACCCCAATTTAATGCTGAACCGGCATATTGAGTACAAAGAAAGCTAACAGTTATGTAGAGGTGGCCGTCGGGGAAGGAGGAGGGGGGGGGGGGGGGGGGAAAGGAAAGAGCTTGAACGTTTTTTGAAGAATGACACTATGATTGAAAAGCTAGGGAATGCCTATTGGTGTATATGAATTGGAAGCAAAATCAAAATGTAAGCTAAAGAAAGAGAGAAAAAATCATGACATGGATCTATTCTCACAAAATTTTAAAACGTTAGGGGTAATCTATTTCACTTCTTTAGCATTATGCATACCTGGACAGACTCCGCAACTTTTGGGGCAATTGAACAGCATGTACTTTGGATTTTTTACGCATTCACCGTTAAATGCCCTGGATTTACAAGGTTTGTTCTTATCCTCACAAGCTGACGGAAAAAAGTAAAGCAATATCCATGTAAGTACATCGCTTAATCTTATCAGATTTCATCAACATTTCTGTTTGATTTATATTCCCCTGAATCAGGATCTGTTCATGCCTGGCTACCCGTGCAGCCGGCCTTTTTTTTTCCCCTTATTTCGTCTCCCCATTCTTTCTTGTGAATTGATTCCCATGTAAGTCGTTTTAGTGAGGAGAAGAGCTGTAATTACGACTGCCTATACGGAGGGTTGCAATTAAATTCAACTCATCCATTGTGGTATATGGCATGCGCTAATAAACGCAAAAGGTCTTTTTGTTTGATATCTTTACACAAATCACCCAAATTTAATGCTGAAACGGCATAATGACTACAAAGAAAGCTAACAGTTATGTAGAGGTGGCCGTCGGGGAAGGAGAAGAAAGAGGGGGGTGGGGGGGTGGAGAGGAAAGAGCTTGAACGTTTTTTGAAGAATAACACTATGATTGAAAAGTCAAGGAATACTTACTGGTGTATACGAATAGTCAGCAGAATCTAAATGTAAGCACAAAAAAGAGAGAAAAAAGCGTTACATGGATCTATTATATAAAAAAAACCTTTAAACGTTATGGGTAATCTATTTCACTTCTTGAGCATCATGCTTACCTGGACAGACTCCACAACTTTTGGGGCAATTGAGCAGCATGTACTTTGGATTTGTTCCGCATTCACCGGTCAATGCCCCAAATATACAACGTTTGTTTTCATCCTTGCAAGCTGACGGAGAAAAAGTAAAGCAATATACATGTAATTGCATCGCTTAATGTTATCACATTTCATCAACATTTCTGTTTGAATCACATTCCCCTGAATCAGGATCTCTTCATGCCTGGTCACCCGTGCAGCCGGACCTTTTTTTTTTTCCTAATTTCACCTCTCTACTCGTTCCTTGTGAATTTATTCCCATGTAAGTCGTTTCAGTGAGAGAAAGAACTGTAATTATACGAGGGCCTACACAGTGGATAGCAATTAAATTCAACGAGAACTCACCCATTGTGGTATATGGCATGCGCTAATAAACGCAAAAGGTCTTTTTGTTTGATATCTTTACACAAATCACCCAAATTTGATTCTGAACCGGCATATTGACTACAAAGAAAGCTAACAGTTATGTAGAGGAAGGAGAAGAGGAGAGGGGGGAAGGGGTGGAGGGGAAAGAGCTTGAACGTTTTTTAAAGAATAACACTATGATTGAAAAGTCCAGCAATGCCTATTGGTGCATATGAATTGGCAGCAGAATCAAAATGTAAGCACAAGAAAGAGAAAAAAGCATTACATGGATCCATTATTACGAAATTTTTTTAAACGTTATGGGTAATCTATTTCACTTCTTGAGCATCATGCATACCTGGACAGATTGTGCAACTTTTGGGGCAATTGATCACCATGTACTTTGGATTTTTTTTGCATTCACCGCTCAATGCCCAGGATTGACAGCGTTTGTTCTTATCCTCGCAAGCTGACGGAGAAAAAGTAAAGCAATATACATGTGAGTGCATCGCTTAATCTTATCAGATTTGATCAACATTTCTGTGTGAATCATATTCCCCTGAATCACGATCTCTTCGTGCCTGGTCACCCGTGCTGCCGGACCTTATCTTTTTTCCTAATTTCGCCTCTCCACTCCTACCTTGGGAATTCCTATGTAATTCGTTTCAGTGAGAGAAAGAGCTGTAATTACACTAGGGCCTATACAGAGGGTTGCATTTAAATTCAACGAGAACTCACCCATTGTGATATATGGCATTCACTAATAAATGCAAGAGGTCTTTTTGTTTGATGTCTTTACACATATCACCCAAATTTAATGCTGAACCGTCATGTTGACCACAAAGAAAGCTAACAGTTATGTAGTGGAAACTGTCGGGGAAGGAATAAAGGAGGGGGGGAGTGGAGGGAAAAGAGCTTGAAAGTTTTTTAAAGAATGACACTATGATTGAAAAGTCAGGGAATGCCTATTGGTGTAGATGAATTGGCAGCAGAATCAAAATGAAAGCACAAGAAAGAGAGAAAAAAGCATTACATGGATCTATTGTTACAAAATTTTATAACGTTATGGGTAATCTATTTCACTTCTTTAGCATCATGCATACCTGGACAGATTGTGCAACTTTTGGGGCAATTGATCACCATGTACTTTGGATTTTTTTTGCATTCACCACTCAATGCCAAGGATCTACAATGTTTGTTTTTATCCTTGCAAGCTGACGGAAAAAAAATAAGACAATGAAAACATGAACTCACTGCTAAGAGTTAGATTTCTTTAACATTTCTCTTTGTATAATATTTCATTGCTTCTTTTGGAAAAAAAATCAATATGGCAGTCTTCCGTCAGGAAATCAACGATTTTACCCGGCATTCTTCGTTGCTTGTTCACCTCTCCGTTCACCTACTATCAGCAATAAATTCAAATCACTTGCTATCAGTCAGGGCATTGGTTAAAGTGTTCCACTTAATGCTAGCATAATTTTGAGGTTAACAGCAAGGAGAAAGAATCAAGCATTTATGTTTAAAGAAATGGTACAAAGAAAGTACTTTGTACAAAACTGAAAAAGTAAACAAAGAATGATGCATTTTTAAACTTTTAGATTAGGCCTGGTTACAAATTAGTCAGGTACCATAAAACAAGGCCACGCCTGGTTAAAAAGAAGTAGAAAAAGTGGCTTCCGGCAGTTCCAGAAGTTCTCATATTAATTTTTAATGCAACACAACAGTGATGCTAACTGAGCGTAATCGTGACGTTCAAGTCTGAGCATTAAGAATTCACTAAATAGTATAACATATCAAGCATAATGTGGCGAACCGTAGCCTTGGTTACCGAGCTGGCTATAGTTTCCTACATGTGGGGAGGAGCTGTAACCAACCAACTCCAGCTCATAATCTCTCCTCTTCACTTTCAGAATCACTTGAAAGAATTTTGAGCTTCGTTATATGCTGCACTTACCAGCCACCACAGACAATGCACAGCTCACGAAAATCAACAAAATGACCAAGTTTCTCATGTTTAGCAAAAATCTACAGAAAGACAAAAATAAGATAGAATTTATAATTTTATCTCATTCAAACATAACGTTACATCCGTTGATCGGGGTTTGGTTAAATCAACCATAAGTGATGGTTATACAACTGAGTGGAACTAAGTCTGTAATCAAAGGAGTGATAAACAAAATGGACCACTTATTAAAGCAGTAACGGGTGTGGATGGTAGAAGAAGTGAATTCATCAAATTCAAATAATCTTGAAATTCTCAAGTAAGATAATAACTTGTTTTTCCAACAGAAGATTTTGTTCTCAGAGTTTTCCTCGCGGTCTCTTCGAGGATCATGTGGTAAAGGTTTTACATACGAAACAGAGTAAAGGTCAGGATTTTTGAAACGAAAAGATCCATGACTTTGTAACTGTTACTGGTATATTAGGAAACCTAATAGTCCTGCTAGAGCATCATGCCTCACCAAATGATAATGAATACTGATCGAATCTAGCAAACACATAAAGCTTGGAGCAGAATTAAACTTTAAAAGGTTTTGTATAGCTCAGTTTGAGAGAATTGGCTCGAACTGACTTTGTTCTTTTGGCTCGAAAGGAGCAATTCGGTACCTCTGTGATGAACTATCGGTTATAAAAGAAACTGTACGTACCGTGAATCTTCTTGAAGTTTCAACGATCCTTTTCCAAAGATTCCACAAATCTGAAATCACGCAGTTTGAAACCAATGAAGAATGGGTGTGAACAGGTATAAGTTTTCAACTGTGTTTCACAATGAATGAGGAAGTTATTGAGCAAAAGAATGTCTTTCGTCATCTTAGGCAGACACTTTGCATTTAGAGAAGGGAAGCACAAAGTTTTTTCAGTATATGTGGTCTCTGTTCTTATAAACGTGAATCACTTTAGTATTCTAAGACGAACCATAACTTACCTTGGGTGTCTCCGGGAAGGACACTTCTACTAAACGATTGTCGTTTTGCTGTTGAGTTTTCATACAAACCAAAACCGGAACACACTGTCAATCAAATATATTCCCAGGAAGTTCTGTAAAGGAAGCTATGACATCAACATACTTACTGAACAAGAGTAGTAATACTGAAAAGTTGTATCAACGTTTATTATTTGGAATATTTAATATATTTAATTGCTGTATTGATTATTTCCGAGACCTCCCTTTCAGAAGTGAGACTATGTTTTTGCCTTATGTGGTCGCAATATTGATTAACTTATCAGAAGTGATACTTGTGGTTTAGCAGATGTTACAGTCAATTTCTAATACTTATTATTTACCAGGGGAGGGTGTGGGGATTCTTATGGTCTTTAGTGAGGATAGAGCTTGGCCGAAAGATGAGGGTCGCACTCAAGACAAAAGGCACAGTTTTTCCCATACAGACCAACCTTGACCGATGAATAACTTTTTTTTCGGCTAGTTTGATTTCTTTGCTTTGCTGCGAGTGGCGTGGAAATTCCAGACCGTGGTCCTTATTGTAAAAAGTTGGATTTTTTACGAGCGCGCTATTAGCCAATAAGTTTCGAGGATTAAAGATTCCGGCCCGCAAAGATGTTTAAAAAAAGTAATATTGTTTATTTTTGGAACCTCTCAGAATGATACTTATGCCATAGCTGGTCTTGTATTAAATTCAATAAATAGCTCCCATATTGCTGTGCGCGTGTGACCAATTTGTTATTCAATTGGTATTAAACATCTTAAGCGACATATGACATATTGTGCTTTGGATAAAAGTCAGCGAGTCTTTTATTAACTTCTTGGCTCAATTCCGTAAATCAAAATAGTTTGATATTAATAAAATCATTGAGCATCATTTTCTTTAGGAATATGAACTTTCAAAAAGTTTAAACGCTTGTATAGGTTTTTAAATGAACTATAGGCCTTACAATTTTTCAAAAGAAGAGTACAATATGTTTATGCGAGTATAAAAGCCACAAATGTATGTATTGTGTCATGCGTTAGCTTCCTCAAAATTCGGAGTCACAAGTCACGGGCATGGAGGCACACCATCGGAAGAAAACCTTCTTTTAAAGCGCTCGGTTTTGCAAATCATAGCGAATAGCCTGTCGATGTTACATAGGGAGCGCCTATCTACCCGATATGCGATCTATCCAATCACGCTTTTTTATCTTGGTGAATAGTTTGCTTCCTTGTGGCAGGTGACACACACTCAGCAGTTACTACCTTATTTTTGAATTACTAGTTGGAGTCGTTTATTGGAAGTACATCATTAACTGGAGAATCGGTGAAAGATTTGTGCAATTCTACCTTCACTTGAAAAGGTTAACTTTGGTACGTCGTCTAAAAGAGCTGAAAATTGTGTCCTACGGTTTCGTGTTATATAGTTTTTACAAGACAAAATCAAGAATTGTTCCCTTTTTTTCGGCACTGTACAAGGTGCTACTTTTAACATACGTGGTCAACTGTACCGCGGGCACGCCAACGGTGCGGCTTTGTCCAGTAGTCCAGTGGTCATGTTATATAGTTTTCACAAGACAAAATCAAGAATTGCTCCCTTTTTCGGCATGAAATCCATAATTATAATCGAGACACATTAGAGTCCCAGAGTTCTGAGAAATAAATGGCAGAGGAAGGGAATAATAATGGTAACAATAATAATACGTACAAAGAGGTCTGCTATATTCTATAGAAAAAGTTTCATTTCCGGAAGTAACAAGAGGCTTTTCAGAAAGAAACGTGCGAGTGCTTTGGGCGAAACCGAAGCTTTATAGCGGAGATCGCAGAACTTAGCCCCATAATTATACAAAATAGTAGTAACCCTTTAAGCCAAAAAAATTTGGATGTCCGACCGTACGACCGTACAAGGTGCTACTTTTAACATACGTGGTCAACTGTACCGCGGGCACGCCAACGGCGCGGCTTTTTTCAGTAGTGGTCAGTGTACTGGGCTCCGAGTCGGACGACCCGGGTTCTAGTCCTGGCCGGGGCAAGGCGTTGTGCCCTTGAGACGTGCGGAAAAAAAAATGCGAGCTCCGCTTTTAGGCTTGGCTAAATCTATATATTATTTTTTCGCTAAGTTCGAGTTCACTACATGTTCGCTTTATTAAGCTACATGTTCGCTTTATGTTCTCTACATTCAACTTCGAGCTCATTACACCAGCAAACCCACCAAAGAAGTGTTTAAATTACAATAATTAATAATTACTGCAATCTCTCAATACCTTCTAATCATAGCTTCAGTCGCTGAAATCTACTCTACATTTACGGCCAGCAACTCATCTCATCTGCTCAAGATTCTAGATATAAGTAACTAGAATTGAAATGGTAGCAAGACAACGTATGAAATTTTTTTCGGTAGTTAAGAAATTCGTAGCAAATTACACTTAGGCAAGAAATGTACTCTCGAGCATAAACTTTGCGTTTTAAACTTAAGCGTAAACTTACAAGAACAAACGATCGAGATTTACATGAGTATGAATATTACCTATGAAAGTTAGACCTCCAGATATAAACGTTTAAACTTAAGTCATTGTACAAGTGGCTGGGTGCCAATATATTGTAAATTCTCCTTGGTTCTGTGGTAAATATAAAGTATTAAAACAGTCTTCCTTATTATGTTAGCAAAATCGACCTAGGTGTTGCGAACTTCGGCCGCGGCACTTATCGGGGGCAGGGGGGACGCTTACTCGTGTAAACAAGGTATTCAAAGTGACGAGAAACTACAACTTTTTTCTAAATTATATGGAACCGTTCTTTATTCTATTTCATAAGAGGCCAAGAAAATTCAAATCTTCTCGTTCTAAGCTAATGGAAGTCCTTACGTAACATTCATTTTGATGATGGCAAGAGCTGTAAGCTACAAATAGAGTTGATCACAGCCTTTGAAATTGATTATTTAATTTATTTTCCAGATTATTAGGCTTGAACTTTACTATAAGCATAGCAAAAAAAAAACCTTACATTGGCAGCCGAGTATCTTCTCATACCCAACTCGAGTTATGCGAGCAAAATAACATACACCCTCTAATATGTTACCCATTTGTTCCTGTGGAAGACAGTTCCTATCTGTTGTGGTTCACTTCGATTCTTCCGCCACCATCAATTCATCATCCGCAGGACATCCATTGTACACGCTGTTGATAATAAAGCTGTCGCCATATTTAGGAATTGGAGCGATAACAATAAGGTCAGCGATTCTGTTCGGATATCAGACCAGGGTTCGTTCTTCAGTCGATTGAAACCGAACCAATTATGTTTGTTTGATCCCTTTGCGTTGAAGATCAGCTCGTTAGATGAATATCCGCCTGCGTAAAGGACAACTCTTGCCTGATAAAATCATTCAAAACTGTTGCTGCTTGCAGAGAACTCAGTCTAAAACTTTTAAATCGATCTGAAATATTACGTGAGGTAATTAAGTATTATCAACTTAGTGGATGACGTAAATTGGTCATCGTAAAGAGTTCAAAAGCTGACCTTTCGAGTGTTAGACCTTCGTCAGAGCAATGGACGAAGAGCTAACGCTCGAAACGCCAGCTTTTAAACTCTTTACGATGGCCAATCCACTTATCAACTCAGTTGATCATGCTAAATTGCCCTGTTATACTCTCCTACCGACGCAGCACCACAGTTTCTTTAGAAACTTACCCCCTTTGTATATTTTAAATATTACTTAGCCACGGATGTGAAGTTAAGCATATCACGATGTCTTCCAAAGTTTAGAGTGAGGACAAGCGAACCATGAACACCTAGACTTTTTTTTTTTGCTTTGTTGTCATCATCCAGTCACAAGCTCGCTTCATGTCGGGGCGCACACATTTTATATATGTTGAATCAGGTAAGAGTAATTAATGGTTGACAAAAGCGAAGTTTTCTGTTGGCTAAAATCTTTCTCCCCGGGAATGAAATTGGAAAGACTTTCGCTACAATTTGAAACGAAGGGTTTCCGTTGGCGAAGGTCTCTTGCGTCAGTTAAAACGGAGGATTTGGACTCCTTCTTCCCGTCCCCCGACAAGCTGCTAATAAGGATCTTAAGCACCGAGAATTTTCATAGCGACGGCGACGTCGGTGGACGAAAGAGACTGGGGCGAGGACAGCGTTTTCCCGCCAAAAACGTTAAGGACCTTAAGCAAACCACGATGGCGACGGCAACGAGGACACGTAAAAAAAAGATCTAATTGGCAGAACAATAGCTCAGCACGTGCGTTTCATAACTTTGTACATTTCTAAGCCGTCCCATGCAAAACAGCAACGTGAAATTACCACAACTTGCGTCGTCTGCGAACAGAAACCGCGGCGGCAAATTATTTCAATTTCCATTTGGAACTCAACACTTCCTTCCTACGTGATGCTGAAGTTGAGGTGTGTTGCCGTATGAGACGGTAACTACACGCAGCCATTTTCGAAATTCTAATTAAAGGCAGAAATTCATTTTTTAATCGACATTTTCCATGGCGTTGCCGTCCTGACTGCTTAAGGTCCCTGATATAAACCTTTACCACCCTTCATTTTCCGACAGCAACTTGTCGAGTTCTTTAAAAATGAACAAATCTAAGACTTGGCGAGAGATACTTCTGCTTATCAATGCAGACAACAACAGTTCGGACGAAGAATTTGTTCCATTATACGACAGTTATTGTTAAAAAAAATCCAGATTTCGGCTATCAATCGTATGATGTTTCCGATCCAGAAAACATGAATTCAGCTGACTGAAAGGCCCAATTTCGAGTTGAAAAGGCAGAAATTCCTCGCCTTGCAGATTCTTGGCATGATGGGATGCTAGTACTCGCGAGATTACCCCCCAGCATTTCATCAGTCTTCCCTAATAATTACTTGGTACCCTTTTATACTCCTGGGTGGAAAGAGGTACTGTGAGAATGAAGTGTTTTGCTCAGGAACACAACACAAAACCCGGTCAGATCTCGAACCCAGGCCTCTCGAAACGAAATCCAGTGCACTGCCTATTGGGCCATCGCGTCCGTAGGTAGATAAAAAAAATGGTCGTTTCAAGTTAAACTGCCATATCAACGCGACCTATTTTTCATTTTCAAACAATTTGTCTCTTCCCCTTCGTCTTTCCTTGTTTTGAACCTCTTGGGGTTAATTAAGAAATGGTTGCTAATAACAAAGAGAATCAACCACAGCCTTTGAGTTGATCATTTGTTTTATTTTCCAGATAACGAGGCTTGAAATTCTACAATAAGTACAGCGAAAGAAAAACCCTTACATTAGGAACCCAGCATTTTCCTTCACCCAATCCAAATTATGCTGGCAAAATAAGACTACTGCTTCAAATCTTATCCATCTGATCCGGAGGAAGACAGGTTAGATGTGTTTCACTTCGATTCTGCAATAAGAAAAAAAAAAAGAAAACACCACCGTGATTCACCAATGGCTAAGGTTTGTTCTATAGCTGAATTGCATTTTCAAAGTTCCACCCATTTAAGTAAATTTTTCTTAAAATTGGAAATTTCTCCTACCGCTGTCCTCGTTTTCCTTTTGAACTCCTTCGTATCTCATTAAAAAGTAAAGCCTTTATACAGGCCCAAGTGGCCCATGGGCCGGTTTCCTTAGCGTGAAGTATGCAGCTAGGATTATTCCCTTTTATAAAAGCCACTTAAAAACCATTTGAGCCACATTGATGAATTTAAGAGGACAGCTGGTAAGACGGACAGGGTGACAAATCGCACTTTTTCCGAGAGAGAGATAAACCTCTGTGACTTTTTAAAAGAAAAGAATGCTCATCACTACACGTACATTAGTAAGAGAATTAAACATATCATTAATAAGAAACACAACATTTCAAAACGTTTTAAGGTTTACGCTGATCTATTTGATTTTTTAAACGATTACTTGTGCGCATGCATACCTAACATTTGCCGCAACTTTTGGAGCAATTGGACAGCATGTACTTTGGATTTTTTCTGCATTCACCGGTCGATGCCCAGAATTTACAACGTTTGTTCTTATCCTTGCAAGCTGACGAAGAAAAAGTAAAGCAATATCCATGTAAGTGCATCGCTTAATCTTATCAGATTTCATCAACATTTTTTTTTGAGTCACATTTCTCTGAATCAGGATCTCTTCATGCCTGGTTACCTGTGCTGCCGGACCGTTTTTTTTCCTAATTTCGCCTCCCCACTCGTTCCTTGTGAATTTATTCTCATGTAAGTCGTTTCAGTGAGAGAAAGAACTGTAATTATACGAGGGCCTACACAGAGGATATCAATTAAATTCAACGAGAACCCACCCATTGTGGTATATGGCATGCGCTAATAAACGCAAAAGGTCTTTTTGCTTTGATGTCTTTACACAAATCACCCAAATTTAATGCTGAACTGGCATGTTGACTACAAAGAAAGCTAACAGTTACGTAGAGGTGGCCGTCAGGGAAGGAGTAGAGGAGAGGGGGGGGAGGGGTGGAGGGGAAAGAGCTTCAACGTTTTTTGAAGAATAACACTATGATTGAAAAGTCAGGGAATGCCCATTGGTGTATATGAATTGGCAGCAGAATCAAAATGTAAGCACAAGAAAGAGAGAAAAAAGCATTACATGGATCTATTATCGCAAATTTTTGTAACGTTATGGGTAATCTATTTCACTTCTAGAGCATCATGCATACCTGGACAGACTCCGCAACTTTTGGAGCAATTGAACAGCATGTACTTTGGATTTTTTCCGCATTCACCGGTCGATGCCCAGGATTTACAATGTTTGTTCTTATCCTTGCAAGCTGACGGAAAAAAAAGTAAAGCAATATACATGTAAGTGCATCGCTTAATGTTATCAGATTTCATCAACATTTCTGTTAGAATCATAATCCCCTGAATCAGGATCTCTTCATGCTTGGTCACCTGTGCTGCCGGACCGTTTTTTTTTTCCTAATTTCGCCTCCCCACTCGTTCCTTGTGAATTTATTCCCATGTAAGTCGTTTCAGTGAGAGAAAGAGTTGTAATTTTACAAGAACCTATACAGAGGGTTGCATTTAAATTCAACGAGAACTCACCCATTGTGGTATATGGCATGCGCTAATAAACGCAAAAGGTCTTTTTGCTTTGATGTCTTTACACAAATCACCCAAATTTAATGCTGAACTGGCATGTTGACTACAAAGAAAGCAAACAGTTATGTAGAGGTGGCCGTCGGGGAAGGAGTAGAGGAGAGGGGGGGGAGGGGTGGAGGGGAAAGAGCTGGAACGTTTTTTGAAGAATAACACTATGATTGAAAAGTCAGGGAATGCCCATTGGTGTATATGAATTGGCAGCAGAATCAAAATGTAAGCACAAGAAAGAGAGAAAAAAGCATTACATGGATCTATTATCGCAAATTTTTGTAACGTTATGGGTAATCTATTTCACTTCTAGAGCATCATGCATACCTGGACAGACTCCGCAACTTTTGGAGCAATTGAACAGCATATACTTTGGATTTTTTCCGCATTCACCTTTCGATGCCCAGGATTTACAATGTTTGTTCTTATCCTTGCAAGCTGACGGAAAAAAAAGTAAAACAATATACATGTAAGTGCATCGCTTAATCTTATCAGATTTCATCAACATTTCTGTTGGAGCCATAATCCCCTGAATCAGGATCTCTTCATGCCTGGTCACCTGTGCTGCCGGACCGTTTTTTTTTCTCCTTATTTCGCCTCCCCACTCGTTCCTTGTGAATTTATTCCCATGTAAGTCGTTTCAGTGAGAGAAAGAGTTGTAATTTTACAAGAACCTATACAGAGGGTTGCATTTAAATTCAACGAGAACTCACCAATTGTGGTATATGGCATGCGCTAATAAACGCAAAAGGTCTTTTTGCTTTGATATTTTTACACAAAACACCCAAATTTAATGCTGAACTGGCATGTTTGTTGACTACAAAGAAAGCTTACAGTTATAAAGAGGTGGCCGTCGGGGAAGGAGAAGAAGGGGGGAGGGGGTGGAGGGGAAAGAGCTTGAACTTTTTTTCAGAGAATAACACTATGATCGAAAAGTGAGGGAATGCCTATTGGTGTGTATGAATTGGCAGCAGAATCAAAATGTAAGCACAAGAAAGAGAGAAAAAAAGTATTACATGCATCTATTATCGCAAATTTTTATAACGTTATGGTAAATTAATTTCACTTCTTGAGCATCATGCATACCTGGACAGATTGTGCAACTTTTGGGGCAATTGATCACCATGGACTTTGGATTTTTTTTGCATTCACCGTTCAATGCCCAGGATTTACAATGTTTGTTTTTATCCTTGCAAGCTGACGGAAAAAAAGTAAGGCACTGAAAACATGAACTCACTGCTAAGAGTCAGATTTCTTTAACATTTCTCTTTGTATAATATTTTCCTTCCATCTTTTGGAAAAAAAATCAATATGGCAGTCTTTCGTCAGGAAATCAACGATTTTACCTGGCATTCTTCGTTGCTCGTTCACCTCTCCCTTCACTTACTATTAGCAATAGATTCAAATCACTTGCTATCAGTCAGGGCCTTGGTTAGAGTGTTCTACTTAATGCCAGTATAGTTTTGAGCTTAACAGCGAGGAAAAACATCAAGCATTTATGCTTAAAAAAATGGTACAAAAATGTACAAAACTGAAAAAGTAAACGTAAGTAAAAAGTAATAGAGAATGATGCATTTTTAAACTTTAAGACTAGGCCTAGTCACAAATTAGCCAGGTACTATAAAACAAGGCCAAGCCTGGTTACAAAGAAGCAAAAAAATGGCTTCCAGCAGTTCCAGAAGTTCTCATCTTAATTGTAATGCAACACAAAAGTGATGCTAACTGAACGTAATCGTGACATTTTCTGAGCATTAAGAATTCACTATATAGTGTAACATATCGAGCATAATTTGGTGAACCGTAGCCTTGGTTACCGAGCTGACTAAAGTCTCCTAGATCACGCCCCACCATTCTCCAATGTAGAAAGTTTTCATGTGGGGAGGAGCTGTAACCAACCAAATCCAGCTCACAGTCTCTCCTCCTTCGCATTCAGAGTCACTTGAAAGAATTTTAAGCTTCCTTCTGCACTTACCAGCCACCACAGACAATGCACAGCTCACGAAAATCAACAAAATGACCAAGTTTCTCATGTTTAGCAAATATCTACAGAGAGACAAAAATAAGATAGAATTTATAATTTTATCCCATTCAAACATAACGTTACATCCGTGGATCGGGGTTTGGTTAAATCAACCATAAGTAATGGTGATACAACTGAGTGGAACTAAGTCTGTAATCAAAGGAGTGATAAACAAAATGGTAAAAGATAATAACTTGTTTTTTTAACAGAAGATTTTGTTCTCAGAGTTTTCCTCGCGGTTTCTTCGAGGATCATATGGTAAAGGTTTTACATACGAAACAGAGTAAAGGTCAGGATTTTTGAAACGAAAAGATCCATGAGCTTGTAACTGTTACTGGTATATTAGGAAACCTAATAGTCCTGCCAGAGCATCATGCCCCACCAAATGATAATGAATACTGATCGAATCTAACAAACACATAAAGCTTGGGTCAGAAACAAACATTAAAATGTTTTGTTTTGCTCAGTTTTGAGAGAATTGGCTCGAACTGACTTTGTTGAACAATTCTTTGATATTTTGCCTCGGTGCTTCTGTGATGAACCATCGGTTATAAGAGAAACTGTACGTACCGTGAATCTTCTTGAAGTTTCAACGATCCTTTTCCAAAGATTCCACAAGTCTGAAATCACGCAGTTTGAAACCAATGAAGAATGTGTGTGAACAGGTATAAGTTTTCAATCGTGTTTCACAATGAATGAGGATGTTATTGAGCAAAAGAATGTCTTTCGTCATCTTAGGCAGACACTTTGCATTTAGAGAAGGGAAGCACAAAGTTTTTTCAGTATATGTGGTCTCTGTTCTTATAAACGTGAATCACTTAAGTATTCTAAGACGAACCATAACTTACCTTGGGTATGTTCTGACTCAATTCTCCGGGAAGGACACTTCTACTAAACGATTGTCGTTTTGCTGTTGATTTTTTATACAAACCAAAACCGGAACACACTGTCAATCAAATATATTCCCAGGCGGTTCTTTAAAGGAAGCTATGACATCAACATATTTACTGAACAAGTGCAATAATACTGAAAAGTTATATCAACGTTTATTACTTGGAATATTTAATATATTTAATTGCTATATTGATTATTTCCGAAGCCTCCCTTTCAGAAGTGAGTCTATGTTTTTGTCTTATCTGGTCACAATATTGATTAACTTATCAGAATTCATACTTGTGGTTTAGCTGGTATTACAGTCAATTTCTAATACTTGTTATTTACCAGGGGAGGTGGTGGGGATCCTTATGGTCTTTAGTGAGGATAGAGCTTGGCCGAAAGATGAGGGTCGCACTCAAGACAAAAGGTATAGTTTTTCCCATACAGACCAACCTTGACCGATGAATAACTTTTAAAAGTCAGCGAGTCTTTTTTTAACTTCTTGGCTCAATTCCGTAAATCAAAATAGTTTTGATATTAATAAAATCATTGAGCACCATTTTCTTTAGGAATATGAACTTTCAAAAAGTTTAAACGCTTGTATAGGTTTTTAAATGAACTATAGGCCTTACAATTTTTCAAAAGAAGAGTACAATATGTTTATGCGAGTATAAAAGCCACAAATGTAAATATTGTGTCATGCCTTAGCTTCCTCAAAATTCTTAGTCACATGTCACGGGCATGGAGGCACACCATCGGAAGAAAACCTCCTTTTAAAGCGCTCAGTTTTGCAAATCATAGCGAATGGCCCGTCGATGTTACATAGGGAGCGCCTATGTACACGATATGCGATCTATCCAATCACGCTTTTTTATCTTGGTGAATAGTTTTCTTCCCTGTGGTAGGTGACACACACTCAGCAGTTACTACCTTATTTTGTAATTACTAGTTGGAGTCGTTTATTGGAAGTACATCATTAACTGGAGAATCGGTGAAAGATTTGTGCAATTCTACCTTCACTTGAAAAAGTTAACTTTGGTACGTCGTCTAAAGAGCTGAAAATTGTGTTCTACGGTTTCGTGTTATATAGTTTTTACAACACAAAATCAAGAATTGTTCCCTTTTTTTCGGCACTGTACAAGGTGCTACTTTTAACATACGTGGTCAACTGTACCGCGGGCACGCCAACGGTGCGGCTTTGTCCAGTAGTCCAGTGGTCAGTGCACTGGGCTCCGGGTTCTAGTCCTGGCCGGTGCAAGGCGTTGTGCCCTTGAGACGTGCGGAAAAAAAAAATTCGAGCTCCGCTTTTAGGCTTGGTTAAATCTATATATTATTTTTTCGCTAAGTTCGAGTTCACTACATGTTTGCTATGTTAAGCTAAATGTTCGCTTTATGTTCTCTACATTCAACTTCAAGCTCGCTACATCAGCAAACCTATCAAAGAAGTGTTTAAATTGCAATAATTAATAATTACTGCAATCTCTCAATACCTTCTAGTCGTAGCTTCAGTCGCTGAAATCTACTCTATATGTACGGCCAGCAACTCATCTCATCTGATCAAGATTCTAGATACAAGTAACTAGATTTGAAATGGTGGCAAGACAACGTATGAAAATTTTTTCGGTAGTTAAGAAATTCGTAGCAAATTACACTTAGGCAAGAAATGTCCTCCCGAGTATAAACTTTGCGTTCTAAACTTAAGCGTAAACTTAAAAGAACAAACGATCGAGATTTACATGAGTATGAATATTACCTATGAAAGTTAGAAACTCCAGATATAAACGTTTAAACTTACGTCATTGTACAAGTGGCTGGGTGCCAATATATTGTAAATTCTCCTTGGTTCTGTGGTAAATATAAAGTATTAAAACAGTCTTCCTTATTATGTTAGCAAAATCGACTGAGGTGTTGCGAACTTCGCACTTATCGGGGGCAGGGGGGACGCTTAGTCGTGTAAACAAGGTATTCAAAGTGACGAGAAACAACAACTTTTTTCTAAATTATATGGAACCGTTCTTTAGCCTATTTCATAAGAGGCCAAGAAAATTCAAATCTTCTCGTTCTAAGCTAATGGAAGTCCTTACGTAACATTCATTTTGAGGATGGCAAGAGCTGTAAGCTACAAGTAGAGTTGATCACAGCCTTTGAAATTGATTATTTCATTTATTTTCCAGATTATTAGGCTTGAACTTTACTATAAGCATAGCAAAAAAAAACCTTACATTGGCAGCCGAGTATCTTCTCATACCCAAACTAGAGTTATACGAGCAAAATAACATACACCCTCTGATATGTTACTCATTTGTTTCTGTGGAAGACAGTTCCTATCTGTTGAGGTTCACTTCGATTCTGCCGCCACCTTCAATTCATCATCCGCAGGACATCCATTGTACACGCTGTTGATAATAAAGCTGTCGCCATATTCGGGAATTGGAGCGATAACAATAAGGTCAGCGATTCTGTTCGGATATCAGACCATTGAAATCGAAGCAATTATGTTTGTTTGATCCCTTTGCGTTGAAGATCAGCTCGTTAGATGAATATCCGCCTGCGTAAAGGACAACTCTTGCCTGATAAAATCATTTAAAACTGTTGCTGCTTGCAGAGAACTCAGTTCCCATCTAAAACTTTTAAATCGACCTGAAATATTACGTGAGGTAAGTTAGTATTATCAACTTAGTGGATGACGTAAATTGGCCATCGTAAAGAGTTCAAAAGCTGACCTTTCGAGTGAGTCAGAGCAATGGACGAAGAGCTAACGCTCGAGACGCCTGCTTTTAAACTCTTTACGATGGCCAATCTACTTATCAACTCAGTTGATCATACTAAATTGCCCCGTTATACTCTCCTACCGACGCAGCATCACAGTTTCTTTAGAAACTTACCCCCATTAAAACTTACCTGCATAATTTATGGGCACAAAGGCCGTTCCAAGCTAAAAAAATGTTCAGCCGAATCACCCGAGACGTTGGTTTGAAAAAAATTAAAATTATGTTTTCCCGCCAATGATGTGATTAGACAGCGCTACAAAAATTGCGAATTCTTTTGTCTATTTCAAGAGCTCTTATCGGATAATCATCAAGAAGAGGCAGAAAGAAGAATCAAGCGTTCACGGTTCGAGTGTCCTCACTGTAAGACTCTCCAAGTTGTTTGCAATCCTCGTTTCCTTGTAAATCATTATTACCCCTTTATTGGTTGACTAAGGAAAGAGAGTGTAGAGTAGTGAGGAGAGTGAAGTTATGCGATATCTCAACACAGCTGAAAATGACTCACAACCACAATCTACTAATGATAAAAACGAAACTTTCGTGCGACAACTTTATCTCAAGACTTTATTTCAAAATGAATCAATAAATAATCACGTGTATAGTGAAGACATATGTAAGTCAGCCACTGTTATTTACCACCTCACTCAGGAACGTACTTGTTTATCTTTGTCCTTAATCAGTTCCCGACCTTTAGATCATGATACAGCAAAAATTAAATATGCAGACGTCAAGGTCATACTGACGAAACATTATCACAAAAAGGTTCCGCTTCTAGCTGTCACAGCTAAAGGGGTTTAAGCCTTATTCTTTAGCCTCAAATTAAAAATTACCCTGCCAAACATTTAACCCAGGATCTACTAAAATGCACCTGCATAAACGAAAAATGGGCACTTCTACCATGGACCGACATTCTCGTGAATGATATTGCCAATATCATGATGGAATATTTAACATATTTAATTACCATACTGATTATTTTCGAAACCTCCCTCTCAGAAGTGATTCTATACTTATGCCTTATCCGGTCTCATATTAAACTGCAATATTTATCAACCTATCAGAGGTGATACCTGTGCTTAAAGAAGCAGATATGTAACGAATTTAAGAAAATGAACGACACCTCTAAAATTAAAAATACATGTTTCCACAGATTTTCTGTCATCTTCAGTTCTATGTGCTCATATTTCTCTGCTATGTCGTGGATGATATTGTCAAAAGATCTGGATAGAAGCAGATATGTAATGAATTTAAGAAAATGAACGACACTTTTAAAATTAAAAAACATATTTCCACAGTTTTTCTGTCATCTTCAGTTCTATGTGCTCATATTTCTCTGCTATATCGTGGATGGTATTGCCAATATCATAATGGGATATTTAACATATTTAATTAATTACTGATTATTTTCGAAACCTCCCACTCACTCCCACTGATATTGCCAATATCATGATGGAATATTTAACATATTTAATTACTATACTGATTATTTTCGAAACCTCCAATCAGAAGTGATACTATACTTATGCCTTATCTGCTCTCACATTAAATTGCAATATTTATCAACCTATCAGAAGTGATACCTGTGCTTATAGAGGCAGATATGTAACGAATTTAAGAAAATGAACGACACTTTTAAAATTAAAAAACATATATATTTCCACAGTTCTTCTGTCATCTTCAGTTCTATGTGCTCATATTTCTCTGCTATGTCGTGGATAATATTACCAAAAGATCTGGATAGAAGCAGATATGTAACGAATTCAAGAAAATGAACGACACTTTTAAAATCAAAAAACATGATTCCACAGTTCTTCTGCCATCTTCAGTCCTATGTAATCATATCATCCACGACATAGCAGAGAAATATGAGCGCATAGAACTGACGATGACAGAAGAACCGTCGAAACATGTTTTTTTATTTTAAAAGTGTCGTTCATTTCAAGAAATATATTTAAGGTGGCTCTACAGAGTACTTTACAAGGCTTTGGATATTACATATGCATAAATAATTTCTCCCTTGTCAAATTTTTATCACAGAGCACTCGGTAGAAGGTAAAAACCTACAGCCTTAGACTACTATGGACGACTCTTTCAAAACCTAAATATTGTTGCTATGGCAATTACTAATAAGAATGCACGGCTTGTTTTTGAGTTATTTTTTTTTTCAAATAACAGCCCTTCGTCGGAGCAGTAGACGAAGGGCTAACGCTCGAAACGTCAGCTTTTAAACTCTTTACGATGGCCAATTTACGTTATCAACTCAGTTGATAATACTAAATTACCCTGTTTTACTCTCCCACCAACGGAGCATCACAGTTTCTTCAGAATCTTACTCCCTTTAATCCTTTGAAAAATTACTTAGCCAAGGATGAAAAATTACACGTCAGATGTCTTCCAAAGTTTAAGACTCTCCAAGTTTACTGTTTGCAATCCTCGTTCCTTTGTAAATCATTATTACCCCTTTTTTTGGTTTACAAAGGAAAGAGAGTGTAGAGTAAGGGGAGTGAAGTTATGTGATATCTCAACACGGCTGAAAACGACTCACAACCACAACCTACTAATGACAAAAACGCATCTTTCGTGCGACAAATTTACCCCAAGACTTAATTTCAAAATGAATCAATAAATAATCACGTGTATAGTGAAGACATGTTTAAGTCAACCACTATTATATGACCGCCTAACTCAGGAAGAGAATACTTTATCTTAGTCCTCAATTCTGTTCCTGCACTTTAGATCATAATACAACAAAGATTCAATATGTAGACCCCTAGGCCATTATGATGAAAAAGTGTCACAAAAAGTTTCCGGTTCTAGGTGTCACAGCTGAAGGGGTTTAAGCCTTTTTTTTTAACTTCAAATAAAAAATTACCCTGCCAAAAATTTAACCCAGGATATAATAAAAATTAGTGCACCTACGTAGCCGAAAAATGGGCACGTCCATTAATGGACTGACATCCCCATCTCTCGGTGGATTTGATTCAACCTCCTCCTCCCCCCCCGCCCTCACCCCACCCCCTATGACAGAGAGAGAAAATAAATTCTGAAAATCAAAATATTCCGTCACTTTCCTTCCTCTGAAATTAGAATTCTTGATAGTTCTTTGAATCGATATGTATTATTACGTCGTAGATTCGAATTAAACCTTGGTATAAATGTTGGCTCCCTTCTAAATCTTCGTTTGCAGTAAAGGGAGATGTGATGAAAAGAAACATTCACGCATGTTGGAGATGAAATCTTGCCAAACTTGACCGCTACCATCCTCCCAGAGTGAAGGGCTAACGCTCGAAACGTCCACCGAACCCACCCCCCCGACGCAGCACGGCAGTTTCTTCAGAAACTTACCCCCCCCCCCATCCCCCCTTTTAAACGCACGATGGCTTATTAAATAGCTCAGCTCAGTTCCTCTTCTTTCTAACACTAAATAAGTGAAACAAACCAAATCCCCAACGACGAAACATGACTTCTTGCTAGTAGAGAAAGCCAACACTTAAATAACTATGGAGGAATTATTCTATTAGCGCATACACCTGAGGAACATGGTTCACTGTGATTCTAATTTACGACAAATTTTGTTTCAGGAGCTTTCAGAAAAAAAAGGGTTCGTTCACAAGGTTGAGCGAATTTCGGGTGGCAGCATCAACACTGCACACCTTTGACTTCCCCTTTGTTATCAACTGCATTATATTTGACCCAGTCTCTGGCAATTGGGGCATTAAGCATTTCGTCGGTGAATCCAAATGCATCACACAGTGCAGTGGCCTGCGGTGCCACTTCTCGACACAGGTCAGCAGCTGCCTTCCCAACTTTTGCCCCAGTCCACGTAAACATCAGCCCCGAGGTGGTGAAGTAGCCGAGATCCTTCTTGATGACTGACATCTGATAGAGATGATGAAGTTTCTGGAGAACTGGTTGCAGACCAGGGTCAGCTTTGTCAAGAGCTTTGCCAAAACATTCACTGATGAGTCGTTCACCATACGCACGAGCAGCAGCTTGGACAAGATCCTGTTCCATGTACATCCAGGTGTCAAATCTTCCCTCCTTCCCAGCCTTCATCATCTTCATTCCAAGGCTCAAAAATAGATCTTTCTCTCGTGACTCTAAAAGCTCCTGCAAGTATTTCGGGTTGTTGAGATTGGCCCAACCGAAGATCCGGGTCACAGCCTTCGGCACATAGCTGGCCGCTACCTCCAACATGGATGGCTTGAGACTCATCAGCCTTTCTGAAGCCACCTTCTGCATCAGGACTGAGTTGTCCCCTTCGGCTGTCATGGAGGAATGCGAACCAGCGATACCACTGCCAAACTTGTTACAGGACAGATACCCTTGGCCCCCACACCTCTCGCGGGAAATGGCAGCTGCTTCAGCAACATGCCAGCCAGTTATAGCCTTTATAACACAACACATAATCACCACATCCGCATGCTCAGATCCATCAGCTGCCTATGAAGGAAATGGAATGATAAGATCTTAAACAAAGCTGTATCAGGACCTCGCTGAGCCTCTGCTGTTCACAGTTTTCCTCGAGCTTTACTCTCGCAAAACTGTTCACTCGTTGGAACAGATAAGCGTATTTTCAAGATACCAAACGGAGGCTATAGTTCGGATATCCCATATGCAACTTCCGAGAGTGGAATAATAACATTGTTCACTAAAAAACAAGGACAAAAATACACGTAATGTTCCAATCATTCTTTGCTAGACTCAAGACGTCTTGCAAGGCCACAGTACCTGAAAAGCCCAGCGATCTTTTATATATTGCAGTGCAAAATCCATGGCGTAAGTAGCAGCCAGAAGTGGCACCAGAGCGTTCCGTTGGAGCTGATACTTGAGAATGGGTGTGTCAGATTTGCCATCAGGACCCACTGTAAAACGAGTTGCTGAGTAACGGATGGCAATGGCAAGACAAGCTTTGGCTGCACCTTAAGACATAATAAGACATACCGCTATTTCCTGTGTTTGTTCTTTACAGTGGGTAGAAGAACATCATATAAAATAAAGAAATGCAGATCTAAGAAGGCTGCAACTAGCACAAAATTCTTTAGCTTTGATGTGTGTGATGCAAAAATCCAGAACAGAGTGTATAGGTGCACACAACTAGACTCAGAGCCTACAAAGCCCATTCAAGTCAAGGCAACACTAAATTCCAGATGTTACAGATAAACCCCCCCCCCCCCCGGAGAGGATGCCGATTCTTTGCAAGGTTACCTCCCCAAAATTTCATCAGGCTTCCCTGACAATTCACTACTCATTTATACTCCTGGGTAAAGAGAGGCACTCTGAAAGAAAAAACCTCACGGCAAAAAGAATAACCTCAGTCACTTAGATAATTCTAAGGTATTTTTAATAACAGGAAGATGTCGATGGTTGGAGTAGCAATCTTCTCTTCTGCGTTCGTTTTAGCGATATACCAGCTTAAAAATCGCGATATTACCTAAACGACAACAATGATGAATAGACACCTTCCATACCCACAACAGTAACTCTAAACCAATTTGGCTAACCTGCGAAGGGAATGAGACCCAGTTATTTACAATTTTTGATTCATTTGCAGGTGGCCCCGATGTTTTTTTTAGTTTATTGTGACATGACAAATATCCGTCTTATGAGTGGACATCGCAAGGGTATTGTTGCGTTGTAACGTCAAATGGATGCTTTAACCAAGTGGAGAAATTTCTACGACCCTTTCCCCTCGGTGTTGGCTTTCGTTATTATGATTAAATTAGAAGAGGTGCTTTGAACGGTTGTACAAGCGATTATATTCCTTCATGAGATTCTGTTGGCAAGCTACAGGTTACGGTTTACGAGTTAGAAGGTCTTCACAAAAGAAAATTCGTCGGGAGTGTTAAAAAAAGGACCCCTGATTATAAAAAAACGCACACTCGGTTGAAAAGATAAGTGTTCCTGTTAGGCAAAGCACAGATATTGCTGCCGCTGAGGTTGAGAACATGAAGAAGTGGGCGGATAAAAACGAGATGTCTCAATTTTACCAAAACATAGGAAATGTGCATACACGGCAAAACTACTAAGTTATCCCCTTCAGAATTACCAGGAATAAAAGGAAGCCATGGCTAAAAATATTAGGAATCACATTTCAGGAAGATGCTACGGACTGGGACATCCATATCGACGATATGCTATCCAAATCCAGTAGTTGAATGTACATTCTAAGGGTATGCAAACCCTATGGATCTTTCAAAGATCAACTCAATAATTTGTTTAACTCGCTCGTCGTGTCCGTATTCTTGCATGGGATTGAAGTTTGGGGTGCAGCTTACCAGCGAAATATCTAGACAGAATCGACTGGTTTCTCAAGAAGGCCCTCAGGTTTGGCTTCACCACAAAGAAACAACTATACTTGACTAAATTAAAGATAGGGACTCTAAGCTTTTTAACAACGTAATCAGTGATGATCATGTACTTCATGATTTTTTACCCCTAAAGAGGAGACGTGTGCTCCGTGAGTCAAGCATGACTTTATATTACCTAGAGTTAAAACCGAACGCTTTAAGCATTGTTTCCTCAATAGATACCTCTTCAATTAAATTCACCATATATAGGGAACTTCATAATATTACATGTTGCAATGCAACGATTTTTACATATTCCTAAATATACTCATAATTTTCTTACTGATATATTGTAAAGTTACACGTTTGTTGTTTCTGATTTATTAAAGACAGATTATCATTGTTATTATTATTATTTTTATTATTAAAAGAATGGAAACATAATTTTTTGGAAGCGCTTTCGGCCATTAAATCTTAATCCGTGATTTCATTTAGTATTTGTACTTTAGAGGGGTTTGTTACTGTGGTACTGTAGGAAAAAAACACGTCTGTATAATAGAAACTAACTAAATAGTTCAGTTCTTCCACACGAGTGTAACTTAAGTTGAGGACCTAACGAACCAAATTTTTATTTTAACGTAGAAAGCTTTCGTCCGAATATCCTCAGTGATACAGGTCTAGTATTTTTACACGGTCTTTCCCTTTTCCAGGACACAATCTCCATCAAACATCCCCGGCAGCTTACTTATCAATTACAGGCAGTTCGAGGTCTGCAGCTGACTTGAACTTTGTATCTCCAGATTTAATGGGTGGAAAAAGGCGAAAAACAAAGACACCTTCTTGATCTTATTTGCCTACTTAAATTTCTAAAATCATCGAGAACCCAACGACTCTTGGAATGTAATCTCTTAAGTGCTGATATCAAATGTTTTAATGTTAATTATAGAAAGGAGTGCCAGCATTTTGATACATTAGAATCAATGGAAAAGTGTTCACAATCTGCTCATGTGAGGAACATGCAGGAAAATATATCCCAAATAAATAGCGCCCATATGAGGAGCCGATCTACTCTCGCTCCAATTGTATTCATTTGTTAGAAAATTAATCTTATTAAAGTTAAGTTCTTACTAAAGAAAAGCGTCCCAGTTACCTTCGCTATCTTTCTCATTTGTTCAACAATGAAAAGCGAGTTGTATTCCCTCTCTGAAATGCGACTTAGCTCTGCAACGAAGCGTTTTGACTACAAGATAAAAAGAATTCAGCAATCACGGACTTCAACTCCTTCTTAACAAACTGAGACAAAGTCTCCCAAATAAAACCATAACAGGAATGATTCAACAGACCCATAAGGCGAATAATCCATTATTGAGTACCCGTCTCACCGCAAAGAATGGCGTTTGTTCTACCCTTGGTGGCCTAAAATGGAGTTTTCTGTGCGAATTTGATGCTTGTGTGTTAAAAAAAGAGATTTTATAAGCGAACGAAGGAAAAATGAACGCAGTTAACTCTTCTGTCAATTATTTAAGACAGACTTTGCTGGGTACCTGACGATGAGTACCGAACCTCCTTTCATACGAAGACTAACCTGTGCTCTTGAGCTCTTTCCGGAGCCATTTTGAGAGCGTTGAAAATCCAGATTTCCAAAGTCGTGGCTAAACGTGTCCAGGAGCCTGTAATTCATGATCTCCACCACATCCTTGCCGTCTTGTTGGCTAGCCTTTTCGCGCATCTCAAGCCGTGCTCGTTAGAAATCGCCTCCTTGTATGCGGAATGGCGTTTCTTTCTGTAAGTTTTGCAAGAACAAATTTTTGCGGTTCGATGTTGGGGCATTTCTGTTGGGAGATGTTTTCATTACAAGCAATGACGCAAGCATTGATGGCACAACACGTACAAGAAAAGAATTAAAAAATCAGTTCAAAACAAATAACATTAATTGGCACATGTAGAATGGAGTTTTTTAATAGAATGATGGTAGCAAATTTTTGCAGTGTTTTCTTTTGATAGAGTCTTATTTCTGCGGAAAACCGAAGACTATATACATTAGTTATTCGGTTATAAGGCGCACCGTTTTTTTCAAGAAATTCCTAATTTCTACTAAAAATTACCGCCAAAGTTTGGGTGCGTCTTATAGGCGAATATTTTCCCGAAACAATTTTTTTTGATCACAGTTACTGGTACGATTTCAAGCAAATAAAATGACACACACACATTGACTTTTATGAATATGGTGGTTCTGAAAAGACAAGCGAAGTCAAATTTGCATAGATGTGATACGTGCTCGAGAGCACGTGCTTAGTAATTTGGTACGTCACAAAACGAAACGAAAATAAACAAGCGAAGAGGTAAATACCTTCTTCATCCTTTCAGCCTTTTTAGTGCACTGAGACCTGCATTCTCGGCGGTACATCTTGTTTAATCAAGGCTTTTGTTTGTGTGCGTGGTCGCGTGTGCGACAATTCTGCTTTTGTTGATTAACGGTAAACTAAAATCAATACGCGACTTTTTCGCTTTTTTGTAAGTTTATGAAAGAATTTACAATAAACTTGACCGATCTTTACTCCCCAAACAACGGTGCACCTTATAACCAAGTATTTTAGCTATTTTCTCAGTTTGAAAACATGCAACAATGAAGTTGCCGAATTGGGGGTGCGTCTTATAGCCGAGTGCGCCTTATAACCGAATAACTACGGTAATAACTACTATAATAGCTCTCGGATATTTCTACGCGTGCTCTCTACACTGTTATCTACAAAAAATTTCCTATGGTACTGACAAGGAGACATCGTTAAACAATCAAGAGCTTCTTTAAATGGTGATGATGATATCTATCTTTCTCGTTACCTTAATGCTTGATTCAACAGTAAGACTTTATGGCCAAATTAATGTTTATACCTGAGTGAGTCTTATGAGTGACTCAAGTTGCCTGGTTGTGATAGGAGTACTATCTGCACTGTGATGCTGTTGTCTTAAGTCCAAATAAAAATTATACAGAAGAAATATAACTAAGTCAGCGACAAATGAATCGGAAAACATGAAAAAAAGATTAAAACTTCGAAGGGATTTTAGCCCGTACTTCCTCGATACCCGTTGGCACTACTTCAACTAGGTTACAAAGCCACCTTAAATCTCTTTCTAGGCTTTACCTGATAAGAATACTAACTTTTCTCTGGTTTTTTTCACTGTTCACATCGACGCTGTTTTTGATTTAGTTGTTCATTTCGAGACCGAATGCTTCTTCGATCGTTTTGATGCAAATTTACCTCAGAGGACCTCTTGACTCGCATGCGAATTTGGTTAGTAACTCGTGCAGTAAGAGATGCCCTCTTATGTAGGTAGTAAACCTAGAAATGGATAACTCGCTATAATGGGTTCTTTTTGACATACTAAGCGGTCAGATAACAAGCGATGCACTGTGGAAGTAAGGTGAGGTATTTTTTTGGAGAATTTGACCATATTTTTTTCGTTCCTAAGAGCGGTCGTAAATATTCCCAGACAAACTCTTATAATATCGTGGTTATCTGAGCAATTAGTTGATTTGATGTATCTTTGATCAAATACCGCAAACCACGAGCATGAAACCTCATTCTTGTCGTCATGACA